GTGTGGTTAGAAATGATGATAGTCAAGTAAGCTGAGTCAAATGATTTACTGAACATAATTAACTGAGATTTTATTGGGCATTCAACTATGCTCATAAATGCCTTGTTATGGCCGAGGGTGGGGAGAGTCAGTTCTCCCTCTCCAAATGCTTTCACATGGCCATGAGTATACAGTCACTGTCAGGGAAGTTCTACTCACTGCCTTCTCGTGGCATTACTGTTGTTTACGAAATCGAGAGGACGAAAAGCGAGTGTCAGGCACTTTAACAGGGTTGGTTGTCACGGAGGGTCCACCTAGGGGAGTTGGAGAACCCTGATTCCAAACCAATGGTGCACATGGGTTCCAGGATCCTGAGGGAACAAATGGTGTATGAACCAATGGCTGGTCACCGGCTACCATGAGACGACATCTGCTTACGTTGCTCTATTGTCTTGTGGATCAGATCTTCAGGTGGAAAGCTCCAGGTGTGGCCCCTTAAGAAAAACATCTGCTTCGGTCTGGGCATCCGGGTAGTATCATAGCTCACACACAAATCAAGTAACTTGTATGGTGTACATGTATTCGGTGCCCCTTTTTACCACTATTTATGTGTTCAAATAAATAAAGAGAATCCGAATGCATCACAATGATTATCTTTTTCATAATCATTGATATTTACCGTGTAATATGTATCAGTTAGTATATTACTTTCAAAAGATTGTTATGTAATACTATAAAATGAAGGCAATGCATAATATAAACTGAAATTACTATATCATATGAATATGTATAACAGTCAAGATTGGAATGATATTCATCTACACAACTTCGATAGGCAAAGACGATTTTGCTATGGTAGAAATTAATGAATTCCTTATCAAGTAATCTTGGTTTCACTATGTATAATAATTGATTACAAAATATAAGTTTTGTACGATTATTTGATTTTCATAACAGTTTCATAAGTGGAACATTTCTCGGAAATATAACAATTAATGAGGATATAAATTAAATCATGTACAACTTATATACATGATACATAGATTGGTTCACAATGGGAATTAAGTCAAACAGAAAGTATTATATACGGATGAAGAATAAGTAAGTGATAACCTCTAGGATCTATTTATGAACTATGGTCATAATATATTCATATTGTATAACTATTAAGTAACTAGATTATATGTATATTTATATTCCTTTTATTATAAGATTTCATATGGCCTAATGATTACTATTATACAATTTGCTATTCTTAAGTTATTCCCAATTTATTAGTTAGTGTCTTACAATCACGGCCACTTTTTGGTCAGAACTTGCCTAATTGTCGTTTTCTATTATATAGTATGATGCGGTCTGATCTATTTGTATATAAACTGCGTATATTTGCAATACATGATTCATATAACGAAGGCTGATATTGACGTTCTGAACTGAACCGGCTGCGTGAACCAATAACAACTCAGAGTTCACTCTAGGCTCCTCGTACTGCTTTATGCATCAATGGTCTGTTTTAATTGGCGATCGTATCACATAATATGATTAACAGGGTAAAAACGACATAACAGAAAGTAAAACATTAAAACGATTAAAATCAACAAACGATTCTATCATAAATAACCAAGGAGTCCAAATAATAAGTCTTATCAGTTGTTGATAATTCATTTCAAAACTAAATTATTATCTTACTGATCTAATAACAAAGTTAGTTATTGAATATAAATGTACATCGAAAATCAACTCTGTCTTGTCATCAAATTGACTCCATTAGTAAATAGTGTTTTTAGGGTCACAGTATCAATTATGCACAATTGACTTGAATATATTAAAAAAAAAGAAAAAAAATACTTTATTCACATTGTAATATTAATCGAATCATCAAGTTGAATCCACTAATAAGGTAAATATATCTAACAAAAACTGTAGTAAATCTCACATATATTTTTATCTATTATTTACATGTTTGAACTAAATATGAATTTGAATTATACCGATGATCCAATAAAGCATCTTGATGGTACTTCGACTATCCTTAATTAATATTTATTTATAAATGACTGTTTTAATAGTATCAGAAAGGGTTTTGTGGAAATTGTACTAATTTCAATAGTTGAGATCATGAATCAATTGAAGCTAGACCACCATGGAAAGCCTGGAAGCACTGGGCGGCTATTTCGCCCTATTGTGGGACTCCTCAGCAGTCCGCATCGATCCAGGACCTAGCAGTCTCACGCGCGAGCGCTTAACCACCAGACCACTGAACCGACTGTCAGCCAACGGTGTTAATGTCTAACTTCAACAAATCTACGAAATTGCGCGACACACCCACCATTGTCTTCAGTGAGTTACTCTCTCACAACATACCTGGTTGGACTCCACTAGAACTCAAGGATATACCTCTTGAAGTCAGTCACTAGTGAGCACATGTTGATTAGTATCAGTGTTAGGTCCCGATAACATAATGAATGGTAACTTTGGGATCCTTTTATGGACCAATACTAAACGTATATTTTTATCGTATAATTGTTAAATAACTAAACTAATCATATTCATGTTCCTCTTATTATAAACTTTATTTTGACCCATAAACCATTATTATATGTTTTACCATTCTTGAGTTATACCCAGTATATTAAATACTACCTCCCTCATTCACAGCCACATCTGGCTAATTCTTGTACAAATGTTGTTCCATATTTTATTGGTACGGTGTGGTCTGTTTGATTGGTATATAAACTCAGTATGTTTGGAATATGAGGATTCATATTACAGAGGCTGAGACTGGTATTCTGGACTTAAAGCAGGACTAATCAGGACTCTAGGCTGCTCGCACGTGTTTTACGCGTCCTTGGTCCGATCGATAATTCGCTGCTTCTGATTGGCGACTTTGGGCCATAACAATCAGAAGGGGTTTTAATAGTCATCAACCACCCAAGCACTACGAATTACTATAGAACATGGTCTTATAAAACACCAAGCATTCAAAATATAACAGTAACTGTACATAATCACTCGCTACATGTGTTTGTGTGTGATAGCAATCGAAGAGATAAATTAGAATGGATACAGAAATAATGAACGAATGTTGTAAATTTAATCATGTTTCAGAGGTATGAAAAGACAATATTTACTTGCTACCAATGTATTAGAACCAATATCCATTGGCTGGTTACGATCAGCATTAGCCTATTGTGGGAGAGAACAAACTAGCTTCAAGCTGAAGAGCGAATCAGGAAAAGACGTTGGAAGTGGATAGGACATACATTACGAAAATCACCAAAGTGCATCACGAGGTAAGTGGTAATTCGGAATCCTGAAGGGAAACGGAAAACAGGAATGCCCAAAAACACACTACGTCGAGAATTGGAATCATGTATGAAAAGGATGAATAGTAACTGGAAAGGATTGTCCAGAACAGTGTTGGAGGAAGAATGCTGGTGGGCGGCCTATGCTCCTCGACGAGGTTTAACAGGCGTAAGTAATGTATTAGAACACAAATATAATGAAATGATCATTTGCTTCCGACTCCAATTATTTGTGAAATTTTCAGCATTTAAATATTGATTAATCAAATCAATCCTGTTGGTAAGATCACTTCCATCTAACAGATTGAATACTAGCATTTGTATATTCTTAAATAATGACAGGTTGTCGTATATTTTGAAGTATTACAGGATTTCAGAATAAGTGATTGACTTAAAAAGAAAGAAATCTGTTAAATGAATATCAACCTTGATTGGTAATCAATATATTTTAGAAGTCATTTCAGTAACTACACACTAAATACTCGTCTGTGGAAATATAGATAAGGATTCTTTCATATTCCTTGAATCCTAATTCAGCATCAACTCAACGACCATGTTCTGTCATTTGATATACTGATATAATCATAATTCAATTCAAAGTGGTCGGGTGAGATGCATTTCATTAAAAAGTAAACTAACAGATTTGTAGTAGTGATCGGACATTTGACTGCACAAATATATTGGACTTTTGTTGTATATACCCTCGAGTATGCTACTTGGAAGATGTTTATGTAACTATACTTACTTTTCAATGATTTATTTATTCTGAAGTGGAGTAATTTCCTGTATAAATAGGAAAATGTATCACTCACAACAGGTTTGAATCTTAATTAAACGGATTTAGACTATCTCCACAAATTTACGGTTTAACAGTTCATAAAAACATTACCCGCATATTTACGAAAACGGCCTATTTGAGTGCAGTGTTTAGACAATTCAACTTATTCTATACATTGTTGTCCGGTAACAATGAAAAACAAATATTCACTTAGTGACTTATCGATTTCATGTAATCTGCCTCCAATTAGTACAAATAATACCAACCTTTTCATAGACAATGTCAGACAGTGGAATCGTTCAGTTTTGTCTCTATATTACTATAATTTTCTATGATGTTTTATTCCAGATGCTTAAAGCATACTTTACTGTACAATGAGTCTAACATTATGGAGAGTTAATTCGAAAATCTTATTTCAACATTCTAAAACATATTCTCTTCTGATAGATATGTAGACCTGAATGTTGCATGGAGACGACTTTATTTACTCCACATAACCTCATCAACCAATAGTTTGAACAATACCACTCACTAATGGTATTCAATGTCAAGTAGTTTTATAATGATGTTTGGTTATTTTTTTTTACATCCAACTAACCTAAGTGGTATTTCCAAAATACTATTTAGTTTAATCGAATTTTGTATAAATCAGTGATGAATAATAAGCACAGAGCAAAATCATCGACGAAAAACTTTACTTTAAGTGCTATTGTCAACTATACCAAGCAATTATCAATGGTAACGAAACCCTATTTACACATGTTTGTATAACATGATTGTTAACCTGACTAAGTATTTGAATCATAGTCCATTTATTATACTACTCTTGGTCTTAGCTACATGAATTGCGATGATCATTTTGTGAGTTTGTTTCATTTATGCAAAATAAGTAGATATATGTTGTCGTTTCATAGAAATCAAAGTACATAAATAAACAATTAAAATGGTCTAATTCACGTTTATTGAACTATTTCGAAAACAAAAACATACACACAACATAAAAATGAAATCCATATTCTTTTAATTACAATTCGATACACAATCATAAAATGAAACGTTCTGCTCACAACATCGATAAGCAAGTATTTACAAGAGGATAATTTATTCAAGTTGACTATGTTATATTATTGAATGAAAATCGAATATGTGAAAAAATACAGACAAAAGTTTCTCAGTGATAAATGAATCAATGTAATCCATGGGATAGTAAGCCATAACATACATTGGGTAGTTTTAATGTAAGTGAGACATAATCATTTCTGGTGCTTACGTTCACACAATTAAATCTCAGCGAGAATGACTAAGGTTTGAATGTTGTCCACGGTAAATTCTATTTATGAACGACTCTTTTAGTACGACTTAGCGAATAGGAACTTGGATCGACTGAATGTCTGTCACACAACACTTCAACGTTAGTAATTGGCTTGTGAACACAGATAAAGAAGGAACTTTAAAGATAGTGAGTAGCAATGAAGTATACGAACAAATCAGTCGGATTTCGTTTGGAAATACATTTTTGTTGAGCATCTAATGTTAGGTTGTGACGAAAACTTTAAAAATTCAAACAAGGAATCGTTATTCGTGTTAAAACTGTTAGTCAAATATCATTGCATTGCTTCCCAGTCGTGATTCATTTCATACAACGACAACAAATGTTACTACTGGTACTGATGCTTTTACTACCAATAATAATTAAAGTACCTTCACATATATCTCATAACTCAGTCTTTGTAATTCTACTTTTTGTATCTAATGTGTGCTTTATGTATCTATGCACGTACCATTTTATCCAATCTGTTACTTTGTCTCACTACGTATCGTCCAGTCTGAGTTATACTAGCGCTTGTAAAGAGTAATATTTTCAGTGGGCTGGTTTGCTTCCTCCACTCTTTAACTCTTCGTCTGTTTGTCGAAATGACGTTTTATTTCCAATTTTACAGTTTCAATAACTGATTATATGCTTCTGTCTTCGAAACTGCATATCTCACTGCGAAATACTTGTTCGCTCTCTTTCTGTGAAAAAAAGCTTTCACAATGCAATTAAAGCAATGTATGTGTGTGTGGTCAGTGTACACTAGTATTCAAACATCCGTAAATTATCAACTATTTGGAAAACAGAATTGTGTACTACAAGGCACATTTCTCATCATTCGGAGCAAGTATCATTTTTGCTTTGTTTACGGTCCTACTATGTATGCATGTTTTAAGTGACATTACTGGTGAAGAACATATATTATTACTATTATTATCATTATAATTGTTCAATATCGGAAATTAGAAGTTATGAGCACAAAATCAAATCAAATGAAAGATAAAAAAATGAAACCCATAGCCCTATTTAAATGATACCTCAACTACTAGTGTTTATATTATGCTTCCAGTTTATTTTAAAAATTCAAACGATAGAAAGATTTAATGTATCTAGAAATGTGTAAAGGAAAAATGAGAAGCGAAGTGTTTGAATATCCAGAACAGAGAAAATACAGTGTAATAGAAAACTATGGTGGGAAACTTCGTAAATGGAATGAACATTTAAACAAAATCAAATCATAATTATGAGTAAGTATTTTGTGATGATGGATGGATAATGCCACCATTATACATATTATAGGCAATAAAAATTATGAGTGATAATTGCTAGGAAAGAAAATAAATAGGAATGCAAAAGCTGACGATAATATACGTTATTCCGAGTTTACTTCAACCAATAAATAACGCAACTTCCATGGTAGGAATACTCACAATCGAGGATAACAGGGTAAATCAACTAACCAATTAACGAGGATAGTACTTCTCCAATATTTTTGACGGAATTCGCTTCAACAATTCTTTTGGGAATATACGCAAGAGTTCCCAACCGACGTCTAGTGAGTCAAATACACTACGGTTTTCATAAGCACCTAATTCAATTAGACACAACAAGAACAATAGAACATAAAAAATCAGTGAGTCTTAAAACAGCTCAACTGGTTGGCATTTACAAGACTTAAGTACTCAAATGAAAGGCCATTAATGAAAGATAAGTAACACTGGTTGTCGACTGAACAACTCACTAGTAAGAATGTGAGTTCCCTATTTTTAGTACAATCACTAACACTTCTACGAGTATAATTTTCCTAATAACGCTTCTAGTTAACTCGGTGTCTAACAACTTCAAATCTATGAGTTCAAACAATGATTCACATAATCAATATACCATTCAGGGTTTAGTCTTTTCCGATTTCAGCGATACAACTACTATTTTAACTCATTTATTACTTATCTCGCTAATTTCATCTCACTGTGTTGATTTCTTATGGTGATGTGATGTGATGAACATTTATGTCAAGCTCCATGTTGATTATGATGAACTGTGAGGCGTGAATTCAGAATATAACCGAATCATAGTTATGAGTTAATGTTGACGACTTCCAAATTAAATTGGGTCGTATATGTAATTTTTTCTCGATTACATACAGAAGTGGCTATTCCTTATACCAAGACGTTTGAATTATGATGACATTTGCATGAAAGAGATTGTTTAGATAATTGAACTAACCTTGAGAAATGAAATTCTTCTCAAACTTTGTCAGGAATTCTAAATAAAGTAAGTCCTCTGGGCTTAATGCTTCTTCACCAACAACAGCTTTCATTGCTTGGACATCCTTTCCTATTGCGTAACATGCATACTGTTAATAAAAAGAATAAAGAAGAGAAAATGGAAGGATCAGTTATTAATGCGTAAACATTAGAAATATGAAGATAAATGAATGGTAGTGAAACTTAGCACCCATGAAAAAAATTCACTATATGGAATTAAAAGTCGTACTATGTGTGGACCAATCACACTGTGTATAGCTTCTGAAAGTTTAGCATCCATAAGAGTGGTTCCCAACAGAGAATAAATAATTAGAAATGAACAACAGCTCCTATACAAATTCTTACAGTACCCAAAAGGAAGAGCTTGTGTTCCCATCTATCCTTCAGAATCAAGTTTCTAAAATAGTCGAGAAATCCATGTAACTCAAAAGCTGTGTGAAAGCTAGCAACGTTGCAAACATTCTTTCGAGAAAGTCAGGACACAGTTGACAATTGAGAGCTTCACAAGCAAGTTATATGGAGGTAGGGACAATCCTGCAATGTGAGCAATTTTATGTTGACGTTGCAAAATGAGGCCTCTTGAAGTTGGATATCCCTGACGAGTGCTTGAAGGAAAAATTGGAAAGACGATCAGTTCACAACAATATCCAAATAAATGTTTGTAAATCATAAGTCCTTGGACGGCGTTCAACAGAACACATAATTCAATGATTTGAGACGTTTTTTGAAGGTCTTCCGTATTTCAAAGGACTAAATAGTGAATTACGATAAGACGGCTACTGGCTTCAATCACGAACAGCTCAAGTCACTGAGCGGTTTGATAAAAGGAACCTCGATGGGTCAATGAATATCTTATAAGTATAGTTACTTTTTACAGTTACGGAAGATGGTAACAGATGAACCATCGCTCTGTCAAGAGTTAGTGCCAGTGTCAGTTTTTAATGCAAAACTTTGAGACGAGTTTAGGGATGCATCACCAAGCCGATGTTTTAGGACGATACCATTCATTTAATCATGATCCCCATTATGATCGAAAACGCTCTATATAATACTAACAATCCTTTCGAATACAAAGAGTAGATATCATGTTACGGTATTACCCATGAATAAAAAAACCTATCAATAGCTTCGATTTGGTTTTCCAGAATATCTGTAAGTGATATTTTACCTTTATAGAATTTCTTTGATGAGTATTCGACTAAATAGCGTTATTCTCTACCACATAAACTCCTCATCAACATTGGTCGTAACTGTTTCAACACTGTGAATTTTTCACAGTAAATTAGAGAAACCGACTCAGCTCATAATCACCTCCGTAAGCACACTAACCAAAAATTTAGGTAAACAAAAAACTTACCAACTGATTGGACACATCAGAATGATCTTCACGAGTCATATTCACACCGATGGCAGATTTCATCAGACGTGACAACGACGGTAACACATTGATTGGAGGATAGATCTATGTGATTTTTCATTCCATACAGATGATAGAAATATTCCCGTCAAAAAAAAACATGGTAATAGTCAAATAATGAGTAACTTAGTGTCGGAAAAAATTATCCATTCATTCAAAAACACAAACATTGCTACTAAAGAGACACCAAGATATATATGCGCCACACAAATCACTAAATTTTTGTGTAGGCTGGGATATTACCCGGATTTCCGAACTGGTTTTTTTAAGGGGTCGCCCCCCGGACCTTTGACTTACAGACCTAGTCCACGAGGCGGTGAAGCAACGTTAGATGTAGTCTTATAGCATCCAGTGACCAAGAATGGATTTGCACGCCATTGGTTTTGAATCAGGGTGAACACTTCGTACCCGACAATGCAGTTTAAGCGCCAGGTATTCGCTTCTCGCTCTCCCAATTTCGTTAGCAACACCCCGAGAGAAGGCAGTGAGCAGGACTTCCTTGGAAGAGGTTATAAACACGTGGTTCTATGAAAGCGTTTCGAGAGGGAGTACTCTCCCCACTCTCGGCCATACCAGGGCATTCGGGGACCATAAGAAATAATTCAGTTAGGATCCAATATATTCATCAAAAGTTCAGTTATTTGTAAAAATAGACTATTAATGATGTATTACTACTAGGTAATGTAACGCATGGAATTTAATTAATTCTTATTATTAATAAATAATTAATGTTTTGAAAACTTAAATAGTACAATATTAATTTTGCATGAAACATTTCTAATAAACTTGATGTGAATAAATTGAGTTTTTAAGGTTATAAAATAAAAATGGGTCTATGTAGCAAAGTGAATGTGTATCATCGTTCTTAAGAAAAAATAGATTTGGTTATAAGAATCGCAATCACACTGCATAACAACAAAACCAAACACTATTATTACATTTCAGATTGATTGACTAGTGTGTTGAATTTTAATATGATTTGACGCTTATAACGTAAATAATCCTTAAATTTTCGCACTGACATGATTAAAGTCATAACATGGGTTGGCATAACTGAGCATGGTTAGATTGTGGCTAGTAGTAGAATCCACGATGCATGTCTCATTCTACTAGGTAGTTGTCAAGTGAATCTACCAGTATCACGGCAGTGATGTTTAAATTTTGATTTGAACCTAGTACCTAACACCCCAAATGCCAAAATGTAAATCAAATGGCTCGTAACTAGGATTAAACGAGTGTTCCAGTTTCAATATCTGGCCACATTGGTGACATTAAAACTTGGATAAACTAACTATACTGAAGTATGTACTCATTAAACTCAAAAAGAGTAATTCATGTAAAAGAATAAACTAACTAACAACCCAGTAAGTGAAATACTCCAGCTTTCCACTAACCTGTCTGTTATGTAATTGACGATCAACATAAATTTGACCCTCTGTAATATAACCTGTTAAGTCAGGAATAGGATGAGTAATATCATCATTAGGCATAGTTAAAATTGGAATCTGTGTGATTGACCCTGAGCGACCTTCAACCCGACCAGCTCGCTCGTAAATTGAAGCCAAATCAGTGTACATATAACCCGGAAAACCACGACGTCCTGGTACTTCTTCACGAGCTGCCGATACCTAAACGACAAAGATCATATTATGAAAGAACCTGATAGTAAAAATAACTGTAAATAATCCTATGTTAAGAGTAGAAACGATAGTTATCCTTTCTAGACCATTACATATTCAAACACGTGTTAACAAGTACTTTTTCAACGTATGTTTAGTACTTCACTCTAACACACTATCTTAAAAGATGGAGTATGGCAGAGCTGATGATTAAGAATGAGCAGCTGGGTAGGAATATTAAACTGGTTTACTAAGCAGTCAAAATAATTATTTGATAAGGGTTCCATCGAAGCAGAGTTTATGTAAAGTGAGACTTGAAAAAAATATACATTGGCTCAAGTCGGTAGATGTGCATAAATCAAGATCCCAAAGCATATTACTACAGAGAAAGAAAATTATCAGGTTCGAGAGAAGTGGTGGTAGGAAAATAACCACTTTAATGGAGCATTGCATCATATTGTGAAAATTGCTTATCCACATATATTTTGAACTAAATTTGAATTTTTGGTTTAGAAACCCATATAACCTTATTTATCTCGCTTCATAATCTTTGTCTACTAAGTGGTGGCTCAAGACTAAAACTTATACGTGTCTAAATAATCGGAAAATAATAATTACCTCCGCAGCATATGTAGCGTATAGTGTGGTAACTCCTCTACGATTTTCCGAGCTATTCCGGTACATGAGACTTGACTTTTATGAAAAGTTTTAAGGAAAATGACAAAACAATACGGATCAATGACCGCACACTATAATATACAGACTACAACTACAACGCACCCACGTTCCAATCAATACCTGGCAAGTCCAGACTCTCCCCCAAGATCATACTTTTACTTAATTCAAATTACGGTACATTTATAGAACACTACTAATTACCTCACGCAATGCTTCTGCATATGAACTCATATCGGTAAGGATAACCAACACATGCTTTTCACATTGATAAGCCAAATATTCGGCTGTTGTAAGAGCGATTCGAGGTGTTATAATGCGCTCGATAGTTGGATCATTCGCCAAATTTAGAAACAGACACACATTCTCCATTGAACCATTTTCCTTAAAATCTTGCATGAAAAACCGAGCAGTCTCCATATTAACACCCATTGCTGCGAATACAATCGCGAAATTGTCTACATCACTATCTATAACGCTTTTTCCGGGTAACTTGACTAGACCAGCTTGACGACATATTTGGGCAGCAATTTCATCGTGCGGTAGACCAGAAGCTGAAAATATGGGGATTTTTTGGCCACGTGCAATCGAGTTCATCACATCGATACTTGATATGCCAGTTTGGATCATTTCTTCTGGATAAATGCGTGACCAAGGGTTTATTGGTTGACCCTGAATGTCGAGGTAATCTTCTGCAAGGATTGCTGGACCTTTGTCTTTCGGTTTTCCAGAACCATTGAATATACGACCTTAAAAATGCGAGATTCATGTAAACTAAACATACCTAACATATCTTCTGACACAGGTGTACGAAGGATATCTCCTGTAAATTCACATACAGTGTTTTTTGCATCAATACCGCTAGTACCCTCGAATACCTGGACTATGGCCCTTTTGCCGCAAACTTCCAAAACTTGTCCTGTTCGCTGACTGCCATCAGCAAGAGTTAGTCTCACAATCTCATCAAATTTAGGAAACTTTACATCATCAAGTATGACGAGAGGTCCATTTACTCCTGAGACGGTTTTGTAGGCTGCAAAATAAATTTCAAAACACAACTAAGGAATAACTATAACTAAAGAAGTGAAGAGTCAACAAAATCGACTGTTCATTATAACTATGTGGTCAGTGTAAATAGACATAACTAAACCGGAACACCAAATATAGTGTTACACATACTTAAGACTTGTGTAGTATTTTTGATAATGACAAAGAACATTGGAATATACAAACTACAATTCATCAACCACTATAAAAATGTTATTCGAAGTATGGATTATACACATATTTTTTAAAATACACTGCGTAGTAAACTAACTTAAAGTGCACTCCCTACTTACCTTATAATTACGAGTTCTTATTCCTCTATGATCATCTTATTTTTATTTGCTGTTCATACACCTGGACGATTAATAAGTGGAACTTATAATTCCTATTAAGGAGCCAATCGAAATACAATTGATGTAAGTTCTCCACACTCGGATTTTTCAAATTTCCAACTTTGTGAGGTTTAAGTAGTACAAACTAACTATTATCGATTATAACTGGTCAAACGACATACGCGCGACTAACATTTTTCTTAACTACACAATATAGCGTAGGTTACATGCAGGTAAGTCTTATTCACCTGCTAATACTTTGAAGGCTGACAGAAAGAGCAGTAGGGGTTGGAATCAAAGAAATTTTACTAGAAACGTGCATATGTTGCATAGAACCAATGTTATTTGGACTGTCATTCAACCATGATCCCTCAGGCTGTGAATGATTTCCGGGGAACAGCTAACAAACTTGACGTATATCCACCTAAAATCTCCGTATCAAAACCTTTTTTCTAATGTTATCAATTGTCGTGATAAAATCTTGTACCACAGATAGTTTCTTGGAGCTAAACTTCTGGTTTTAAGAAGACTGTGGCACATCCACAATCTCAGCAGTAATAACCAAGACTAGCGCAAACAATCAAAATCTTTAGTGTCACAGAGCACCTATAAACCTCTGTAATAATGTTAAAATGATTGGAGAAGGTTCGTACAGACGTCCTGACTATCAGGAATGAGTAATTATGATTGAGAATTATTATTGAGAAAAAGTAAACCGTACCATCATTGGTACTGAACTCACTTATACGAGGCTGTGATATGTAGTCTCTAGAAACGGCTTGTGAGTGAACAAAATTTGCTGCCTTCCGATCCATCTTTATTGCCAGATCATAAACGAAACGTCTCCGTAATACGCGCTCAGCAAAACTACTGTTCAAATGGTTCAAGTGGTTGCGGACGGAATAGAAGAAGCTTTTGCCTAACGGGCTTCCGTGTGTAGCAGCAGTGATTCACCAATACTTTCAAGCAAGAATCCAGGTATATTATTGATAATAAAAGGAAAAAGAAATTGGTAAATCATAGTAAGATATTATCCCTAGTCCTTAAGAATATGTCACGTTTCCTCTTAAAGGACTCCCAGAAAGTCGCTTTGACTAGCCCGGCCAGCAGCGAATTCCAGCATTTGATAGCTCTTAGGGAGTAGAAGTTGTGTCTACAGCCCGTTCTGCCATGTTGTGTCTCCAGTTTCTGGGTGTTACCCCTTAGGTTTGTGTTGGAGTTAGATTTAAGTAGGTGTTTAAGTGGATGTCCAAAAGTGTTCATGGTACTGTAAGCCGTTAGGTCACCTCTAGGACGACTATACTCTAATGGGTAAAGGTTAAGTGATTGGAGGCGCTCTTCATAGGGCTTGAATAGTGTCCCCGAACTGATTTCGTGGCTTGCCTTTGGATACGCTACAGTGTCTTTATCCTTCTGGAGTGAGGGAGGAAATACTATGTTTCCGTATCCTTAATGGGGACGAATAAAACTGTTGAAGGTCATGCGGAAAGTTATACCGTCAAAATGGACAAAACTGCGCTTCAATGTTACCAGTGCAATGTTTGCCTGAAAGGCATTTTCGTCAGTTAGTGTTAGTCTTCAAATCGTAGGGTACCAGCACTCCTAGATCTTCTTCTAGAGAAGAGTTTCTTAAGTTGTAACTATAGTCTGTATCGTGTCTCAGATGGACCACTTTACACTTTGAAGTGCTAAATGTAAGACCCGTGTATTAAAGTATCCACACAATATTCAATATCTTCGTGGTAGTTAGCATAAACTATTTTTGCCTTCATCGTGACATCAGGGAAGTGTTTAAGCCTTTGAGCAGAGCTCAGAGAGCGTTCAAAAGATACAGAAAACTAAAATTCCAATGAACATCAGAAGTGATCTGATGAATTCGGTTGTTGAGTTTTGCATTTTACTAATCTCGTTCTCTGTACCCGAACATGTATTAGAACATTTTAAACGTCGTCACTGTATAAGTTTGGCAATTCCACTCCTAAAAAAAGGACAGAGAATTGTTAGAAGTACTTCAAAGAATCTCAAAAATTCGATCAGTAAAATCTCAGTGACACCATATATGAAGACACCGGCTATGTTGAACGCGTCCGTCTTATTTTAAAGATCCAGCAGTGCGTCTAGAGACGTCACGGATGTTCAGGGCTTGATGATGCTCTGGCCTGTAACATCTCTAGAACCGAGAGTCCCAAATACAGTCAAACCAGAAGTTTCAATGGATGATTTAGAAGATAGTATATAGAGATGCGTTTGTAGTCAACTAACTAAATGTTATGAGGGTTGTGTACAACAGCTTACCCAATAATGAAATGATAAGGAAGTGTGATCGATCACCTTCAGCTAAGACATATCCAGTAAATCTCATCATGTCTGTATTATTGTCAGAGACTCACTGAACCATTTATCACGGGGAATTACAGCTGCTTCGAGACCTACATCTCGCACCGGAAGGAGGTCTACATGTATTAACGTCTACGTTAACTAACTTGCTACTCTGTACTTTATCAGCACTGGGCAAATATTCGAAGGATCGGTTACTGGCACCTCAGTTCCTCGAGTGGACTGGCGCTTAAAATTTTAGGGGTGAGGGGCTGCTGAGTAGGAATGAATGAGTGTGGAATACAGCATCGTTTCATTGTAGCCAAACGGAGAAGATTTTCTCAGAGGAATTCGGGCAGTGATCGACTTGAATGACAGAACAGTGACCACTAAGCGTGGGTAATCAATCACATAGGAAAGCAGTGGGAAAACAGATATAAAAACACTGAACATAAGCGATAAAAGGTATCAGACGTTGAAATAATCGTGGTAAAGTGTGGAAATTTATTCATTGAACACGGGTAAGCCCGTGGGTTTTGTGATAAAGTGACGCACAAAATTCCAATAAAGAGTCGCCGAAAGACAACACTTCTTATCCTATTCTTCACATGTCTGTAACTTAACTTTATCTGGCTATACATAATGATTAATGCTGAATTAAATGGTTTGACTCACACGCCTTCTCCACTACGCGCCGTCTCGTTTTGCTCTCTCTTCTTCCTTTCCTTCACTAAGTCTCTGAGTGTCTGTTCAGATCAATGATTGTACAAAATATACGTATCCGAAATCCATTCTCGTATTTGGCTTATTTAATTCCGTTATTCATCAACGTGGATTGAGTCGATAATAATACACGAGAATTGGCAATATGTATATTTCACTAGCAATCATTCGTACAATTCAAATGGAGTCAGATCTCGGGCTCCAAAAATGTCACCGCCAATATAGTAAGCTCAATTTCGAATAAAACACACCTTGTAGATCTACGCAGACAGTGAACATTTTGAACTCTACACATTCGCTAAACAATCTAAGGAACTGAAGTCAATGAGCAACTCGAATTACTCAATCTCTAATCCGGCTCTTTTCAGCAAAGCCAGTACTGCAGCGACATGGATACGCTCCAATTCCATTACCTCATCTGCACTTTGTCCTCATGTCAACTCTGCTCATTGATCTATTTGGAGGATTGTTCCATTATGATTACCATAATTTTCATATTTCCATATCATCACGATGTAAAATTATTATTTTTGCTCGTGCTGACACTAACTTGTGGCATATCACTCACCGAACAAATTATAATTTTATGAACGCTCCACATTTTGATACTCAAAACTCACTCATTCACATAGCTGAGGTCATTTTTATGTTGTCATACCACATATTTTTCATTTCCACATAATCTATTGTGCCTGTGGATGCCTTTAATTCTAATAAGCCTTTTGCTAGGATCGGCGACCTTTATCTTGTTCTAGATCATTCACCATATCAATGGTTTAGATTTTATCATTCATTTTTGTGGATATATGAATATCACATGTCATATATTTTCGACAGATTTACTAGCTGTTCGTATACAAAACAACCTGTAACCTGTCGAGTAAATTCTCAGTCTGAAGACACACATGAATCGTCAGTCTAAGCAGCCAAGCAAACCTCATGCACGTTGATAAAAGCATGATCACAACACTGTCACAGATATAAGTCTGGAGTCATACTTGCGGTAGTAAGGACTTATGCTCTTGAGATGTGACTAATGTTCATTGATCACATTGGTACGCGGCAATTATCGTTTCAACGACAATATAAATCGAACTCCAGCCATTTTTTAAAAATTTAATCGGTGATTCTTACTTTAATGTATATACATACATCAAGTATCCGACCCCACATTGCTATCCAATTAGTAACGATTATGTTCATCTTATCTATTTCTTCACATATATAACTACACGATTTATTTTTCACTACCCGTAAATAGCACTCGATTACTACAATCAGTACTCTTATCCCGTCACACTGTATACCGGAACATATAGTATAGAGCTGTTCTCTAAAAATACACTCTTGTCCGTCACACCAATGTCAGTTTCACTCTCCGTCATCGGTGATCATATGTATTGGTATTGTTATCATGCCATAGCAAGGTTCCATACCAAACAGGGTCGAGCGCATATCCTCCTACCGACATTGGTCCTTCATGAAGACCACACACTAATATATATGTTTCATAAGTGAGTAGAAAGTCTATACCAGTTAGATGACAGTGAGAGGTCAGCTTAGTAAAACAATAGTCAGTCAGTTAAACGACGCTTTGAAACCTGAAATTAAGACTAAAACTAAGGTGACCTTATGTCACTGGTTGTCATCATTGGTTCATTCTATTTACTTAATAGTTGGAACGCTGATTTGACCAAAAAAATCGCACTGTATTTGAGATTTTTGTTTTCTGGTGGCATCACAGTAAGACATATTGGATTTTCTATTACCTCATTTCCATGTTGATCATAAATTCGTCGAAATCACTTCTATTCTGTCATGTTCACGTTCTTTGTTGCTCGAATGATTGATAATAAATTATTCGAATCGTGCCACGATGCCATTTACAAGTGACTGAAATGGTATTATTTCTAAATTATCATCAATTTTTTCTCACAAATATATGAACGTACTGAATTAGAGACAAATAATTTTCACCCTTTTAAATTTTAATTACTTTTGGCATTATGGTTTTTCATCTTGAAATCGGAAAGTCTTCACATAAGTTACTGATACTCTTGATTTATAATTATTCTCTTTTCACAGGTTTCATGAACATGCGAATGGTTAAACAAATACTGATACATTATCTACAATATGCATCATGGGTATTCACCTGAATTTCGAAGAAATCTTTAGATAAAACAGCAGACCATAAATTCATGTTTAACTGAACTTCTCAGGGTGATTTGAGATCCCTTGAATGTATACTATTTAGTGAGTAGCTGAGAGAATGATGAAATCTAAAGCTCAGTCCATTAAAATAAATGAGATAAGGCAATTACTGAATTTTATTCTAATTACAGTTCGCAACATTAGGGATATTTTTGATGTCTGTTTTCATTCACATCATTCCTGCTCACTAATACCATAAAATATGTAAGATCCAAACTAGGGTTTGTACTGAAGAATAGCTGTCTAGGTGGGTTAGATACGCGCACTTGCACGGTTTAAACCAAAACAAAGTGATGACAGTTGTGAAATTCATCATAAATTTAGATGTACATTGTTACCTAAACAATTATGACAACACAGATATCCAACCAATAATTGTTCAAGTAATCAAATATAAATTACAATAAATAATGAAGTTGATGATGGATGCGAGAAAATTACTAATCACAACAAATAAATGTTATTCTATCCTGTCTGGATAGGCCACGCACAGACAGTTGTTTAGTCAGTTATGTTATATTTTATCAATATGTTAAAGTATTTAGCTATTAAATTATTCAGTGTTGTTTGAAATAACTTGATAATTTGGTTATATTCTGAAGACTGTTTGGTGTTTTATAACAGCT